CCTTCCTTCTGGAGGGGGGCTACTTTTGTTCCCCAGGGTCCCTGTGTGTGTTGTAAAGTAGCCACTGCTCCAAGCTCACTCCTGTAATGTACTACAATCTCAGTGCAAATGAGTAAACTAAATGTGAGATTGTAATCCTCACGGGAGCAAGCTTGGAGCAGTGACTACTTTACAACACACACAGGGATCATGGGGAACAAAAGTAGCCACCCTCCAGAAGGAAGGACAGTGTCAGCACCAATACAGAGATTATTTGAGGATCTACAGCTGAGTGATACACAAATAAGATACATTTCTGTTAATAGTTACGGTACTTGAATGCATTTTTAAAGATTTAACTTCTGAGTTTAGTGTCACTTTACATCTGAAAAAAAATGTGTTAGTTAGGAGCACCTCTCTAAAATAGTTATCTAGCTTGAAGGTTTGTTTAGGTTGTTTATTTGAATGTAAATGTCAGATACAGACAATGTGTTTTGGGGGAATTCGACTCCCTGTTCTTCAGGGTTTGAGCAATAATAAGTAGTAAATTCGAAAAAAAAAAAATGTACTTCTTAGCCTGAATTAGGACTGGTGCTGAGTGTCCATTTTGCAATGAGAAATGGTACCGTAGAAGAAAAGACTTGCTTCTTCCTGTCTTACCACACACCTGTATGGCAATGCATTTTGCATCTTACTGCTGTTATTCTGTTCCAACCTCTTTGCAGCCACTTTTTGTCTATATGTATTGGCTTCAGTGGCAGATTTACAATATTGCTCTGGACTGGCTTCCTGATATTGAAAGTGATGGACCATGAAGAAGCACAGTTTCCCCACAGCTGGAGTGCCACGTTGCCTACCCCTGAAATAAAGGGATCAGCATCTTGCCTTCATCTGCACAAATGCAACTTCTTTTTTGTGCACACTGGCAGAAAGTGCAAAGCTGCACAATCAGCGCTGTGTGTTCCAGCAATCAGCTTTGTCCCTACTGCTGCTAAGAGCAGCCAAACTTAAACTAACCTGACTGAATTATAACCTGGGACCCTAAAATTATAGTTTTCAATGCAATGTTAAAATGAATACACTGTATAAACAATTAAAACATAGGGGGGTAGCTGGCGGTGCACAACATGACTGGGGAGGTGTTTGTGTTGGTGGTACATGACTGGTAGGGGGGTACTTGGGCCCGTTGTTATCTCCGGCATCCCACCCAGCTCACTGACGTCACTGGTTGCCTGGAGCTGGGCGAGACGCCAGCCAGAGCGTCACAGGTTGCTAAGGGACGCTCTGGCTGGAAAGAGGGCGGCAGGCACACCTGCTGCCCCCCCCACCTGACCCAATAAGATGCCGTCTGAGGCAATCGCCTCATGCTGCCTCATTATAGGGATGGTCCTGAGTATATAACAGTATTAACTTCCAGCAGTACAAATGTATTCACTTCATTCCAAAAGTTGTAGTCAAGGTGCTGTAGTTTATTATATAACCTCTAGATGGCTCTTTGCTAGACTCAATGTGCATACATTTATGTATAGTATGTACTAACTGATGGGTATGTGTTGACATTAAAAGACATCAACAAAATGAACCAAAAGCAGCCAGATGATACCATAAATAAAAGTGTTTTTGATTCCAGTATTTTTAGGTTTACAATAAAAGTTTATTTGTTTATGTTTTAGGGTCAATTCAAAGCGTTGTGCTAAACGAATGGGATCTGTGCATCTTTTTTAGCTACATTTTAATTATGTATATATTGTGCTTTTTGTTATGTAGTGTAATACTTGTTCCAGTGGGTACGGGTACATATCGATATTTGTAACTTTATATACTGTATATCTTTTTATGTGTGGATTGAGTATGCCTGAACAGTGAAAGGGTTAAATGATCACGTGAAATTAGATATAGAGTGTTTCTATATAATGGTGTGTGGGTGGTGGTCTTGTTTTTCTTTGAGAAAGCACTGTGCCTGGTGATGGATAAGAGCGCATTCCTGCTGCCTGTTTAATAAAGGAATCATTCTTTTGCATCTTGGTGTGGTGCAGTGTTTCTGTTGCTACACTTTTATTGTGTTTTATTTTTGTTTAACATTATTTACCAATTTACTTTTTAAAATTATTTTTATTTTGTGTTTATCTTTATTTATTTGTATTTGTTTAATAATTTTTTATTTTATTTTGTAAGGCCATCTCAACCAAGGTCAAACACGAGAAGGCATGGGCTCTTTAGTGCAGCAGGAGGATTTATTACTGAGACGCTGACTTTTATTATAATGAATTAGGCCTGGATCACAGAGTACTGCCAAACATTCAGTGTGGATGGTACTGATAAAATCAATCCATTTATTTTATATATGTTTAACTAAGAAAGGACCCAAAACATTCCCCTCCTATTCTTGCTATTGCTGTCAATGATGCCGACATTTCTGTGTCCTGGCCCTCTATTCCTTTTTCCGCTTCTCTTTGCCAAATAAAACAACCGACCCCCTTAAATTCAAAAAGGGCTGAAGTTCTATTTTTATTTGGAAGAGAACTCCTCTGTGCTTTCCATCTTAACATTTGAAGAGTTGCCAATTTTCCTGAGACGTGAGGTGCAAAGTTTAAGAAGCTGCCTGGTATTCACAAGTGTAAGTGATGGACTTCACTGCAGAATGGCTTCCATGTAATGGCCCTCCGGTACATTAAGAAGCATGCTTTTAATGTAGTGAATGTGTCTTTCGCCAAACATTCTCTGGTTGCGAATCAATCACTGGCATTTAAAAACATGCACCAGGAAGATTTACCTGAAATGAATGTTTGGTGAATGTCAGATAACCTGCTTTATAAATATGCCCCTAAGACCTAATCATTTCTCAGCACTTAATAAAAAAAATGTAACCAAAATAAAAACCTGACTTATTACATTTTGGTCCATATTGTGGTCCTTGAAAGGATTATTGGGTGTACAGATCTGTGAATACAGACAGGGCACATAGGAAGGTGTACCCCAGTACTGCAATTCAAAGCAGAGTTTGTTAAAGTAGATGAAAATACAACCACTAAAATCTCATATCAATTGTACCATGACAATGTATCTTGGAAATACTTTTTTTGAACCACTAACTTTCATGAATATGTAGCAGCTGGTGATACTGATATAAAGGTTCTTGTTTGGGAACTTTGCGTTATGTGGTGACAACATTGCCTCTAGCTCCCACAATCTCCTGCCTGTAAATCACACGGTCACAGGCTTTTCTAATGGAAACTATAAGCAGCTGTGCTGATGGACATTGCCCAGGCATATTCCACTGTTGTCACCATTTAAAAAAAAAAGGCATGTGCAAAAAACAATTGCAGCTAGCAACCATTAGGAAATATGCCCTGTGAAAAAAACACATGCAGTCTGATCAGGGGCGGATCCAGAGTCTATTCTCGGGAGGGGCACTGCCAGAAAATTAAGTAGATCCCTGGATCCAGACAAGTCCAGCCTCCTGTCTCTAGTGGGGGCAATTGCCCCCCCCCCCTGGATCCGCCACTGAGCCTGATGTCACTATAGTGCATGTGGACAGGGACAGGCTGTAAAAAAGCAGCACCAGCAGTATTAAAATGTAGCCAAGGATGATAAAAAATAAACCCTACTCCCCAACTCACTAAGATACACAGCACTTTGCTACCTACATGACGTCTAGTAAGGGTTTACATTTATTTTAACAGACTGGCCAATGCTTACAAACCCTACACTAACCTCTCCTTATGTAGTTTAGCAGCAGCACTCCCTATGTTTTCCTTATCACAGATAAACTACATTGTCAATATGGCTAATGTGACCTCAACCTTTTATAGTGAGGGGGCAGGCTTATCCAAAAGCCATTCTAAGCCAGCTGACCTAAGTCCAAAGGCAGCACATTATGGTTACCAAGAATCTGGTCTTGGGAATTTTTTTCTTAAAGCAGACCTTTACCCCCTTTCTCTAAAAATCACACAAGCATACAGCTCTGTATGCTGATATGAAATCATCTTACATTCATTAGGTAAACAAACTTATTTTTCTTTTACTTACGATTATTGTTTTTCCACTACCTGGTCCCCTTGGGCACTAATGATGCAATGTTCCCAAGTGTTGCATCCTGGGAAGGTTACATCAGCAGAGCATTGCTGGGAAATCATCTGTAATCTCATGAGATCTCGGGGAAAGGCCTTTTCCTCCCCTGAGATGATGTGCATGGTCATATGTCCTAGTCACATGTGCCAGGGTTCCAGGAAGTAAAGGGAGATATATTAATTATCCCTTAGTAAAAATGGCCACCATGAGAAGAATGGGGAAGAAAAGAGAAATAAGGTATGCAAAGAATAAAAAGACGGCAACTATCTATAAGTGTGTGTTTGTAGATTGTCATTACTAAACTTTTGTAAAGGTGCCTTTTTTGTTATTTTAAAGATATGTGTAAAGTTCCTCTTTAATTCACCAGGACCGTGAATTTCGAACCTACCAGATCCACAGTGTGCCCATGTTAGCAGCTAATCCGAACCTTATCCCTGCTTACTAAACATAATTTTTAATTCAATAAAAAGTCCAGAGTTACATTGCTGGTCAGTGAGAATACCTCCGTTACATTGCTGGTCAGTTAGAATACCTCCGTTACATTGCTGGTCAGTGAGAATACCTGTTACATTGCTGGTCAGTGAGAATACCTCTGTTACATTGCTGGTCAGTGAGAATACCTCTGTTACATTGCTGGTCAGTGTAAATACCTCTGTTACAATGCCATACTGTGAAAAATAAGTCTATTCTATATTAAATGGCCGCACAGTTGTTATCACTTCTGCCGCGCAGCACTGGGGTCACTGGTTCATATCCTGGCCAGGACACTATCTGCACGGTGTTTGCATGTTCTCTCTGTGTAATAGGGACCTCAGATTGTGAACTCCTTGAGGGCAGGGACTGATGTGAATGTGTAATATATAAAATGCTGTACAGTATACAGCATCTACACTGTAAATTGTCAGTGCTATATAAATTCCTATAATAATGTCTCTTTTTTTTCTGTTTAGATGCAATGGATAACCAGTATAGAGACGGGGGCTCCTGAGATCATTTCTCTGCTCTCCAATCCTCCCCACCTCCTGTTGACTTTCAAAGGCAGAAGTCCGCAAATCAAAACAGCAGAGGGCCTACACACTGGGCCCCGAGACAAGCCAGGACATGTCTGCGGTTTCCCTCCATTCAATCCTCCCCAGAACAAAGGACACATGAGGGGAGGGGGTTAGTTGCTCAGCAACAGCCTGTGTACTGCCCCTTCACTCCCCTCTCAGGCCGGCCCCTCCCGGGACCTTTGTAAGTGTTTGTGGGAAGGCTGCATGCTTCTTCCTCGCTGAATGGTTGACTAGAGGCTGCGCTGAGGCCGGTCTCTGTCTGTGGATTCAAGGGATACGGACTTAACCCTTCCTGTTCTGCTCCACTGCTACTGTGAGGACTGCTGGGATCTGTTGTTTTACCCGTACTGGATGTACTCACACGGTGCCTTGTTACCTGTTGGATTACCTCTTGCTGCACCTCTGACCCCTGGACTACTAGCCTTGTGACTCTGGATCTACTCCTTCCTTGGTCCGTTGCCTACCTTCTGGGTGGACCCTCCCCGTGGCCTGCAACCCCCCAGGACCTAACCCTGGCCTTTGTACCTTGCTTTGTACACCTGAACTCCCCAATAAACACCCTGCACGCCAGGTTCCGTGTGATTTGCCTCTGTGTATTCTCTCTGCGCTCCTAGTTCGTCACAACCAGCATTTGCTAATTAAACTTTTTAACTCCAATTATATCCGACAACTGGGAATGATATAAATACCTATTATAATTAACTCCTCCCTTACCTTCAACCTAGATCCCACCCAACAGAATCCCTTCCTGCACATTCTATAAATTATCGTGATACACATGTAGAATGGTGACTCATTCTCACGCTGTTTAACAATGTCGCTACAATTTGAGCCCCCAGATTCCCTCTAATTGATGCCACCCTCATCATTCTCTTAATTTATCTTGCTGGAATTAAAATGTGAATGCTGACAGCAGGGAACAGATGTATCAGAGAACAAGATCGTTCTGTAATGAAGCTCGGGCTTAACTCCTTTGAGGCAAACGCGACAGTATAGATTGTAGGAGCACAAGCTAAAGAATGTTAGTAAGCCTCGGCTCACACCTAGGTGACAGCGTGTTTCCGCGTTTCCACGTGCATTTCTGATGCACTTTTGTGAATTTATGCGCATAAATAAAGTCGCGCATTTTTGTAATCAGATTCTAGCTCATCGATGATAACGGGCAGACATGCGTTAGGCGCGCAAAAACACAGCAAACACACGTTTTTAAGCATTTTCTATCGAGTCTATGGGTTAAAACAAGCTGTAATATGCCAAAAAAAAAGCTCATGTACTCTTTCCAGGGACAGGCATTTTGCTTATTGCGGCAAAACGGTCGGATGTGAACAGGGCCATAGAAATTAATGGAATTTTTTTGGGGGGGAATATCTTTTTAGCGTTTTTTTTAAGGCAGAAAAAGCGCTACAAAGCGCTCAGTGTGAACCAGGCCTAATGGTGGGAAAGGAGCTAGTGTCTAGGAAATATCTATAGTGAGACACACAACCATAGCATAAGAAGACATCCTCCATATCAGTGAATGTTGGCTTTGTACACAGGGATCATTTTATGTAAAAACAATTAAGCTGGAAAAGTATTTATACAAATTCCTTGTGTGTAGGTGAATGGTTAAACACAAGGACAACACATTCTAATCTTTAGATCAGTGTTTCTCAACCTTTTTTGAGTCAAGGCACACTATGCAAAATCTTGAGGCACCCCTAATGCGTTCCTTGAATGGGCACCAAACTCGGAAAAAAGTGTGCACTTTGACACACGTACACGGAACGCATCAAAAATGTGAAACGCGCTTGCGGTGGCATTAAGGGCTGCTCATTAAGGGTTAGTAAACTCGGTGATACCGGCCTCACCCCCCGAAAACAACTACTGTATATCCTGGCAGCACCCACACCCCCTCTCCCACCTGGAACAACCATATACTGGCAACACCCAGACCCCCCACATCCCCCCCAGAACATCCATATTCTGGCAGCACCCAGAACGCACTACCAAACTGCATCCCCAGCACCCTCTCCCCACACACTCTCCGCACACCTGGATCATCTGTTCTCAGACAAGACTTCTATTCTTTTCCTCTTCTGGACTGCTGCTTACTCTCAGGGGAGGACCATCCTACACAGAAGCTGGACATAATCTGCTTCTGGTAAAGCCTTATGGCTTCTGAGTTTTGTCCTGCCCACATCTCTCACACATATCCCACATCTCTCTCTCACATGGTTCATCCAGAATGCACAGGTTCTCTATGGTGACAGCAATAACTTGAGTCTCATGCACAGGAACTGCTGGAGAACTTGAACTTTACTTGGATTTTTCATCAATGGTCCATTTGTTAGCTGGTAAACAGAGCTCAGGCAAATGCCTGTACAGCCTATCTTCTTATTTACCATCAATATAGCATTGTTTATTGCTTCAAAGGCAGTGACAGATGCCAAGGCAGACACCTAGTCCACTATTTCTTCCACCCGTCTTTTGGATATCCTGGATATCCAAAAGACGTTTGCTGCATGCAGCAGTTTTCTCCTACACACTTGCATTAATCAGTGACTAGCTACAGAATACCTCCAGAAGCATCTCGGAAACAACTAGCCTTTCAAAAGCTAAAAGCAGTAAGCCCAATTATAAATACACCCACAACTAAGGGTGAGGACTTTAGATTTACATTTTATATTCTCCTTAGGCCGCTCATTGTGTTGAGATGCCCATGCTTTCTAGTATAGTATTTCAGCATGCAGGGCCCCACTTACATTTGTGCCCGTGATCTCATGATTGCCCATGGTATCTTAATCTAATCCTGATTTTTACACTGTGCCAGTAGAGTTAAAATTGCTATTCAACAAGATATACTGTGCACAGTAAATATTCAGCAAATTCCTATTTTCTAATTTCATGTAGTGCAAAGCCAAAATACAAGCAACACTGTGCATGAATTTTGTGCATGCTTCCAAGTTGGTTTTGAAGTTTTGCTGACAGATGGAAGTATATTTGAGCATCTGTTGCTTATGGTGACAATCCAGGAGCACCAGAAACATTTAGCTGGGGAAAGCATATGGACAGAGACATTTGGTGCTAAGCAAACTCCCCCATTATTTATGGAACTCGGAGTAAACCGCAAAGTATAGTAATAACTACCAAAGGAAAAGCAATTGCTTGACTTAAAATGCTTGTACCACGGATTTTCTATTTACTGTATTTATTTTGAAATGAATCCCTGCTAATTGTGCCGTTTTGAAAATATTAAAGCAGGCCTGTTATAAAGAATGTATTAATAAAGCAGACCTGTCATGCAGCACTGAAATTGATGTCATTATTAATAAATGTACCCTGCTGTGGACTTAAATTTACATACAATGTGAATGATTTGTGTGCAATTGTTTTAAAAATTTGGCCTTGTATAAGTGCAGAATGACCGCAACAGACTAGTACCAGTATTAATCCAAATGTGGAGTGGGTAATCATGAATGATCTGATGAAACAAATGCAATCGCCCTCATGCATGAGTACCTCAAAGGCTTCATATAAAGAACAATTGTTTGTACAGTTCTACCACAATTTGAGGAATGTGAATGACACTCAAATTATGTATACATATATATGCCTTGTTTGTTAAAAAAAATACTAACTGCACAAGGTGTTTTCTTCCACAAGATCTCATGTATAATTGTATATCTTTATAAAGTTGCTATACTAAAAAAACTTTTTTTGTATAGTATTGGTTGTACAACAATTTTCAGTGGCTCAGTCAATCAAAATACCACACTTGAAATCAAGAAAAATGAAAAAAATACTACATATGACACATCTGACCCCACGTAAAGTGAAATGCTGAATAAAGCATGGTAACTGGCTGAAGGTAACAAAAATGTATACTTACTTTACTAGAAATATGCCATGCTTCCAGGGCTATTTACTGCCAGGTGTGTGCCACTTCTGGAAACGAGCAGCTTGGCCAGAGAAAGTGATTGTCTTTTATTGTCTATGGGGTCAGCTTGTGAAATGATAATACAGCAGGATGCAACTGGCAACACAACCATACTAGACCAATTGCTACACATTGTCCTTAACATTATCCTTGCAGCAGTACCCAAAAGCAACATAGTCAAGCTTTGAGTGTCAACGGTATCCTTGTGTAGAGATATGCTCCAATGCCATATTGTACCTCATAAAACAGGGGTACCGTAGCTATACAGAAGGTGGATTGCTAGCAGTGTTGCCACTAGGCCTGACTGAATCCTTGGCCTGTAACATCTCCCATGGCACTATAGTAATCCAACAGTAAAGTTTCTCCTTTGCCACCAATTGTTAGTGCAACTCCTACAGAACACTTCCAGGTGTAATGATGCGGCTTACCCTGGGCTCTAAATCCATGACTGCATGATACAGAGCACATAGGATACTAGGGCACACATCTGGAAACTCAGGGGACTGTGATAACAAGCAAATATGAGTGGCAAATGAGGTCTTTGATTTCCATCACCATTCTATTATGAGAAAACCATTCACTTTGAATTTCTGTAGCACAACATTTCAAGCTTCAGTATGTTATGTTTTCTAAAAAGCTCAATACATCCTAATTTTTAGCACTGCCAAGGCAATTATAGCTCAAAAGACAGCGACAACGAACGTCGAATGTATATAAACATCTTCTTTAATGCTGTTTTCATCATCTCCACAGCAGTGTCATCCAAAAAGCACTCCTTCTATACCAAGCTACTTTTTTGGGACCAACGTGACCCTTTATAACATCATTAAGTATACAATGTTGTGGCCCTGGCTTTAAAATTAACCTCTTGCTTTGAACTGCATGGGCAAACCATGGGTTTCCTTTATACCCGACTTGATTTCACCATCACTGCATTCTTAAAAAATAGATGCATCCTATGGACTGGCAATATTCTGTCCTTCATCAGAAGAGCTTTACTATCTAGCTTTATGTAACAAAAAATGTCACTGTAGACGGGTGAAAAAGTGTCCTCTTTAAAAATATATTGCTATGATTGTCCCATCAGAGCATCCAGATGTACAATATGTGTATTATTATATGTGTAGTACATACAATATGCAAAGCAATTCAATTCTGAGCAGAGGTTTCTTCAAGCATGCAGCTTCTGCTAGGGAAACAATACTGTACATAAGTTCTAGCTTTGTCTAATTGTGAGAAGCCTATTTTTTCCATTTTGGATGGAGTAGGTAATGGTTAAAACCTCAAATCGGGTTTTTTGGCATCTCTGTCCCTTTGGGGAGATTTTCTTTCACTTCAAAGGAAGGGAAATTGACAGGGTCATTTTAAAGGTAACCTGTAAACTTGTGCTTAGCATTTCACTTGTTGGCTGACAGTGGTAAATATAACATATTAAATATTTCATATATACCGTACTACATATAACTGAAAACTGTTCACCATACAGAAGTCTGAAAGTAAAGCAGTATACAGTCCATGAAATCTGTCTAGACAGCTGCAGGAAAGTAGACTACTGCTTGATGTCATTGATTGGAGGAGCTGCCAAAAAAATCCGGCTTCATAGTAGTGCATTTTTTTTTTTTTTTTTTTAGGAATTAATCTTTGCAACACTTGACAGCATGAAATAAGAAAGGGCCCCACATATTTTATAACAGTGTTTGCCATTGCTGTTTTCCTCTCCAGTCTAAATAAAATGCCCTAAAAGAAAGAAAGAAGCAACATGCTTTGGCTCTCTGCTGATAACACAGTAATTCTCAGACTCCTGATTCCCTGGCAGGTTTATGGTCATTTTTCTAAAACAAGGTGAAATCCAGGCATATTCTCTAATATCAGACACATTTTGAGCTGTTAGAGCTAAAGTGATTGGTGGGGATATAAAAGTGTCATACACAGCTAAAGAAGTTCTGGGGATGCTGTGTTTCTGGGAAAACATGGAGCTGATACCCATAGCAACTAAAGTAGATACACTGAAGAATTTTGAAACAAACATAATCAATTTCGAAGCGTTCGACTTTCTAATAGTGGATGGAGTCAAAAGGATAATTGTTTTCGAATGCAGTGAAAAAATTAGAAGGAGCATGTTGGAAAATTTTTCTCAATCGATCAAAATTAAAATAGTGAATGTATCACGTACCTGACTGGAGACTCAGCTGAGAAGGGGGTTGCCCGTGCACCTCTCATCCCTCACCTGTGGAAGTAGTGGCAGGGGATGAAAGGACAAAGTGGAGCACAGGTGACGGTACTGGTGGCTGGCC